TGCAGAGTAGGCAGACCTGGACACCTGCAACTGGCCCAGATTCACCCACTGAGCTTCCCCCCAATGAGGACTAGATCCCTGGCCTCCCACTTCCTAGTCCAACATTTGAGCCTCTACACTGCACTCGGCCTACGGATTCACGCTGCCTTCCATGCTGGCCTTCCAATCATATTATACACTTCTGCTTTATTTACCCAGGTTCCATATTTATATCACAGTTTTACTGTTGCACCTGCAGCTGGATCTGTGATGCAGTACAGAAATATTTCTAAATTAAAAGAACCTTCACTGGTTTTCCAATATACCCACACGCGTGTGCACGAGAGGCAGCGCGTGTGCGCACGCACGCATGCACGCACAGCTGCACACGCAGGCACAAGGCGGCAAAAGATCACATTCCACCTGATGACCTTTTTCATAAAACTTGAATGTAATCAATGCTCGTCTCTTAATAATTCACTAACTTTAGGGTCAAATGTTGCCTTCTCTGCTAAAAAACTATAATGCAAAACAACGTAACCACATAGCACAAAACAACGCGCTATAATGTAAAGCGATTTAGCGTGCTGAGACCAAAAGGGAATCTTATAGTTCCTGCCTGCCGGGTGGGGAGCGGTTAGCAGTTGCAGGATTTTGCTTTCTGTCTAAACATGCATACAATGTCAGCCTCACAGTGCCACAACGGACAGGCACAACCAGCTGTCACAAAACTATTTTGCAGACCCTTCCATGATGCAAACCGCGAACGCAGTGGGCTTCCCCCCATTCTCCAAAACCGCACTGAGATGACTGTGCCTTCCTATTTAACATGCCAAATCCTACAGACAAGGTTAGAAACATCCTGCAAAGGAACCCAGCATCCTGCAAGGCAGCCGCTCTGGGTTAGCATCTCGAGCTACAAAGCTGAATTACCAAGGCGGGTGATGGCGAAGGAACCAAGAGACAGATTCTCTGCCGCTTAGCATAGAAATAAAGAAACAGTGAGAATCAGAAGGGGTCTCGTGGGCCATCAAGTCTGACCCCCAGCTCCAGCTGGCTCTGCTCATGGGCATGTCCAGCCTATCCTTAAATATCCCCACCGTTGGGCCTTCAACTGCCTCCCATGGAAACCCATTCATACTCTTGGAATCCTAACCATCAGGAAGTACTTCCTGGCAGCCACCCTGAATCTTGGTCCCCTGAGCCTGGCTCCTTGGAACGTGTCCTGCCTCTACTGCAGGGGAAAAAAGGTCATGATCCACCTCTGCGTGGCACCCCCTCATGTGCCTGTACGTCACTAACAGGTCCCCTCTGAGTCTCCCCCTCTCCAGGCTGAAGAGACCCAGCGCCCTCAGCCTCTCATACGGCTTCCCCTGCAAACCGGCCACCAACCTCGTGGCCCCACTTGCTACAAGGCACTATGAGAAGCAAGTACCAAATATGGCCACTTTGCGGCAAGCTCAGCCTCCCCAGCAGAAAGCCCCACAATCCACGCCGGAAGAAGGAGACACAGTTTCAGAGTGACGTGTGGGCTTCTGAGTATCCCACACGCAACTCCTCAAGCGTCTTGGAGCACAGTTCTGCATGCATCCCAAAACACAACTCACCGCACCACACAAGGCCTCAGCCAGATGCAGGCCGTTCACTCACCATGCTCAGAATTGTCTGCTCTGTGCTTCTGAGAGCAGCTCTCCAAAAGGATTCCCCTGCCTTACCTACAGGTGCCAAGGGAAGCTGAGCTGCAACGCTTCCATTAAAGGGCCATTAAAATGTGTCTTGCCATTTTCACTTTTTCTAGGTCAATGGCACCGCAACTCCCAAGCTCTGCACCAGTGGGACGGCCGCTGACCAGCCTTCCCAAGCTCTAGCGCAGTTTCAATGGCACGTCCTTCTCAGGTATAGCCAAAGAAAGAAACAGTCAAAGAAAGTGAGCCAAGGCTGAGCCAACTTCTGAAAAACTGTTGCTGTGGGACCGCCAGGAGACCAAAAGCAGCGCTTGGCATCTGAGTCTAGGGGGAGAGCAACCCTGCAGCCCCTGTAGATGCCACAACACCCTCTGGATGGGGCTCCGAGTTCCAATCCTGCCCACAGTCACTACAGGAACAGCACACCGGCTGCTTCCTTGAGTCATGACTGGAAGGAGGAATAAGCGGGCATTCCAGTGGGGGGCCAGAGGAGACAGAAATGTCCTGGCCTCTTTGGCCCCTGCCTGGCCCCTGCCAGCAGCCTGTCCAGAGGAGAGTCATGGAAAGGGAAGGTGAAGAGGGACATTGCACACCTCTCCCCCCCCCCACCCGGCCTTGCTGGCAAGGCTCAGGTGACTCAGTGGCCTCTGAGATCAGAGCTTCCTACAAGATAAAGCAGGAAGGGCAGCTGCTCATGGTGATCCCTGGCATCTCCAGGCAGGGCACAGAAGGAATCCTGGAAAGCCACTGCTGCCAGTCAGAGTCCAAACAGTCCAGAGTCCAACCGGTGTCCAAGGCAGTTTTGCCCATTATCACAAGACTACGCTGTTGCTGCTGCAAGGGACTGTCACGTTACCCCCTGGGATGCCTGACTTACCTTAGAACACCTATTCAGCCTTAGCTCTCAAAAACAAGGCTGTGTTTATCTGCCAAGGAGCATGGAAAATTGCATGAGGTCACACTGCCTTCAGAAACTGTACTGATCCTACGACAGGAACTGTCCCACCCCATTTGTGGAACATGTACCCCTTCGGTATCGTTTCTGAGTTAGGTCTGTGCTGTTCTGTAACATTTCGGTGCAATTGCAACCAGCTGGAGAAAACCTGCAAGCAAAGGTGGGGCAATCTTATGCACATTTAAGTAGAGAGAAAAAAATCCCACAGCCATCCAGAAAGCTTCAGCAATTCTGAATGGCTTCAGTCTTCAGTAGCTCTGCTGAACAGCTTCAGTATTTATGAGAAAAGGAGTAAAACGCCTCTTCACCCACACCATTCTCTCCAGGTACATTTGCCTTAACTGAAAGATTTAAAAAAGGCCTGATTCTTGAACAGAACAAGGGTCCTTCCAGACTGGCCTTCTCTCCACACTGTGGCCAATCAGCAGCCCCCAGGAAATCCACCTGCGAGCACCCTCCAGTCACCGCAAGCGCAACGGGTGTGCAAAGGTGTGGTAACTCACCCACTCAGCAGCACAGGGCAGATGGGGAGGGCACTCAAGAGCAAAAGCGCCCCGATGGGTCAGGCAAAGGGTCCGTCTAGCTGCCCAAAGGGAAGCCCACAGACGGCACAAGAGCGCAACAGCACTCTCCCAACCATGTTCCCCAGCACCTGGTGATTGCACAGGTTTTGGGAGGTCGAGAAGAAGGGGAGAAACTGCCTGTGTGTGGTTCCCACTGCTGCAAACCTCCAGTGCATGTGCCCCATTCATGACGGTTCCTCCCCAGACTAAGCTAAGAATGACTCAGGCGCTCCAGCTGTTCTGTGCAATGAACGTGCTGCACCTCCTCGTCACCCGACCAGCGTTTTGCTGGCACTTTCCAGGATTTGCACCGTCCTTTTCAAGTGACTCCAACGGGTTTCCTGACGGAATCACTGCTCTGCAGCATCAGCACCATTTCCAACATGCCGCCCTCGAGAGATTTTGGACTAGAACCCCCATCAGCCCCAGGCAGCATGGCTCACTGATGGGGATTTGTGTGCGTGATCCAAACAGCTGGAGAGCACCGTGTTGGGGAAAGGCCTCCAGCTGTGCCTGGCATAAGATTCTTTCCCTTTTTTTAAAGTGCTACTAGGAGAAAGCAAAATAATTGCTCAAAACTAGATTCATTTGAAGGCGGGGGAGAATTGCAAGCTTTCAGCTCTTCTGACAAGGAATTCAACAGATTTGCAACACTGTTTCTAAAACAAAGGACTGCTCCTTTCAAAGCTCCCCATTCCTCCCACCTGTCCACCTCACCCCCTTCAGGACATTCCCACCAGGAAGACTGAGAGCCCATCTTATCCCAAGGTGAGCAATCCGGACAGATTTGGACCACCAGGAGTGGCGTGGGGAGCATCCCATCCCAAGTGGTGGCCAAGCAAGGGCGTGGGAAAAAATGGAGGTGGGGTTGAAGGAGAGAGGGAAACGGCCAAGCCAGGGGCCCGGAGCCTCTGCTGCACAAGCAATCCACACCAGGTTTGATCACTGACCTGCACTGCAGGCAGGCTCAGGTCATAGCTCCAGGGGGAGCCGCTGCCAGTCAGAGCCAGCATGCACAGCCAGGTGCTTGGAGAAACAGGGCATGCTGGTCCCGAGAAGCAGAGACTGCATGCCGGGGCAGCTGGCCTTTGGAGCTGTATCCTTGGCACCCAATGGCATGCCATGGGCCCGGGAGATGTACACCTTGCACTGGGCTCATGCCGCCCAGGCCTTCCCCGTGGGGCCCAGTGGGCACCCCACGCACGGGAGCCCTGAGAGACATTTTCGGTGATCGACTAAATGACCAAGGCGCACCTTGCTAAAAACTGGGACTGTCAGTTGGCCGGAGGACATAGATACACACAGATGGATATTCCTGAGCGGGGGAGACAGGGGAAGAGGTTCAGGCGAAGACAAAGGAAGTCTATTGTTATGATGCCATTATTTGGGGGGGGGGGGAGCCGCGGCCCGTCCCCAGCCAAGCTCGACCCAGGGAACCGGGCATCCGCGAGCGCGCACTGGAGCCACTGCGACGGCCCCGTGCGCTCGCAGGCTCGGCAGATGCCGATCCAGGGACGCCGCATGCGGGGATCGCCCCCGCCGCATCCCCCCGGTTCAGCCAGGCCGCAGAGAGGGGCGACAGCTCTGCGGCGGCGAGGAAGCGCCCCCTCCCCAAAAGGTCACCAAGGTGTGGGGGGGGGCGAAGGGGGAAGAGAAAGAGCGATCAGAAGCAGCCGAGGCTGCGGAGAGGAAGCAACGCGAAGGCCACCCAGGCGAAGGGGGCGAGAGAGAAGGAGGGGAGGGGAGGGCGCAGGGCCCAGCCGGGGAAGGGGGAGGCGGGCCAGGCCTGCCCCAGAGGCTCCGGGGGGGACACTTAACTGTTGCCCGGGGCGCGGGCGGCGGCTGATCGCGGCTCCCCCGTTTCAGGCAGAAGCAGTTTCTCATTGCCCGGCAGGGCGGGGAGCGAAGAGGAGGCGGCAGGCGCAGGAGGAGAGGAGAGGAGAGGAGAGGAGGAGCAGCGCAGCGAGTGGGGGGCACAGGCGGCCTTTTCGGGGCCCGCCCGAGGCGGCGGCGGCGGCGATCCTTACCGGGCGCGTTCGACCGAGCAGCGCCCTCCGCCCCAGCGCGGCGCACCGAGCGAAGGAGCCCGTCAGGAGCCGAGGCCGCCGGCTGGGGCCATGGGCGCGGGCGGAGGAGGGCGGCCGAGGAGGCGAGCCTGGCGCCGCCTCCGAGGCGCTCCGCCGAGGAGGCGGCGCCGCGGCGCCAGCGAGCACATTGCCCCCTGCCTCCCGGAGCCCGCACTGCCGCCGCCGCCGCTGCTCCCTGCCGCCGCCGCCCGGCCCGAGGCACCCTGTGGCTCGCGGGGCGCACGCCGCGCACCGGGGACGCGTGCAGGCCCCCGCGGTGCGCCCAGGGCGCGCACGGGGGTCCAGCGCCCGTGGAGACCTTCGGGGCGCGCGCGCGCTCCGCGGAGCTGTGGAGACGCGCGCGTTGCGCCCCGGGCGCGCCGCGCGGGCCGGGGACCCTTGGACCCTCCCCTTGGCACCAGCGCGCGGGACGCGAGATCGGGCCGAGATGCTTGGCTTCTTCACCAGGCCTTTCGCTTGGGGTGGGCGAAGGCCCTGAGGGAAGCAGCAGCTCTTCCCCTCACCTCCTGCGCCGCCTCCCTTCTCGGATCGAGAGCCCGCGCTCCGGGAGCCCCTCCAGGCGCAGCCCCCTGCCCAGTGGCGCCGGAGACTGCCATCTCGCACGGAGCTCCCACGCGTGGAGCAACTGCCCAGGCTGCCCCTGACACAGGCGGCGACCACCGCCAACGTGCCTGGGGAAGTGGGGTGGCAAGGAGCCCTGGAGGGCGGGTGTCTGCTCCAGCAGCGGGTGGGCAACAAGCAACCCCCGGAGGCATTCCGCCTAGAACACCCCCACTGGCTCTGGCTAGCAATGCTGAGGGATGCTGTGACTTGCAGGCCAAAATTCTGGAGGCCCAGAAGTAGCCCTCGCCACTCTTGGTCCCCTCCTGAGAATGCTGCCAGGCATGTGCCTTGGACTCCACACCCCATCATCCCTGACCACAAATCATGCTGACTTGGGCTGACCGGAATTGGAGTCCAACACATCAGAGCTGGAATTTGCATCTGAGGATCACGTTGTGGTCCAGGGCTAGCAACCCGTTTCGTCCTCCACTTGATCCTGGCTTCCAGTTCCCATCTGCCCTGCCGCCTTGGCCTGTAGCCACAGACGCCAGGACTTGTAACCTGGCGATAACTGGACCGCTGTAGCCACACAGCCTTGCAGTGCTGAGTCCCGGATTGGACTTTCCTGGTGGCTGCCCAGCTGCCCTTGTGAAAGATCTCAGATGGACGTTGGGGAGCCAAGGCCATCCGTTCTTCGGTTTCTCAAGGGATACCAGCTCGGCCGTGCAGATTGTGCTCAGGGGAAGCACTGCTGGAGGCCTGCTTTCAAGCAGGGGTGGTGTTGGGTCCTGCCAAGATCCTGGCACCCACACGCGGAGCACAATTTAGCATCGCTGACATACTTTGCTCCAAAGTCTGCATGCACCTTTCTTGCAAGGACCCTGCCTCCTCACACAGAAGCAGAGCCAGTCGGAAGGGGTCTCTCGGGGCATCTAGTCTGACCCCCGGCTCCAGCCAGCTCCACTCACGACATGCCCACCATCAGTATTTGAAAAACCAGGAGAGGAAGACTTTTGATTGGGGGGGGGGGAGATCATTCAATTGGGGAGGCATCAGGAGGCAAAAGACACATGGGGGGACCTCCCCCCACCCAGCTAATCCTGTATCTTCATTTCAATGGGTGCCCATGGAAAGCAGGCCAGAGAAGCAGATGGTTTCCCAGATATTTGGGGCTCTGAAAGATTCTGGGCCCCAGCTCTAGTTGGGCCATTCTCCTGACACTCCCCTGCTTCTCAGTTTGTGGAATTATCACATTATATCTCTATGCCTCCTGTAGCCAAAGTTGTCTGGGTGGTTCACAATATTTGAAGTCACCCATCCAGACTTCAACCAGGCCTGATGCTGCTTAGCTTGCAAGAGCAGGCAAGAGCAGGCACTTCAGCTATATGAGGGGACAATACCGGGCAACTCTGCCCAATAGTTTGACGTTGCATTCAGCAGCTTGGCCACAAGGGCCCCATGGAATCATCTACTGCAGCCAGTCCAATGGGGAAAGAGGTGGACATTTGTGATGGCTTCTACATTTTATATCACTTCCTCTGCCTTTTATATTTAAAAAATATTCCACGCTGCTGTGGAAGACCCTGTCCCAGCCTTCCTCAGGCAGGTGCCTTCCAGATCTGTGGGATTACAATTCCCATCCTCAGGCAGCATGGGGGTGGAGCTGGGGTTATCATCCCAACCCATATGGAGGGCATCAAGTTAGGACTATCGCTAGTTATCATTTGGAGGTCAGGAACAAGGTGTATGTAGAAGAACAAGGCAAGGAGAAGGTAACAGTGGTCACAAGCAAGCCCAAAGCTGCTTAGAGGACAGAGCAAGGAGCACGTACCTTGGAGCAGGGATTCAGGAGCAGCCGGGAAGCATGAGCCAAGACAGGAACTGGATCGAGTGAAGTTCAGGTGGGATGCAGGAAGCAGGACACGCAACAGAAAACAGGAGAGACAACCGAGCATGTCAATGCAGGTAAGGTCAGGCAGGAAGCAAGAACTAAATGACCACTAAAAGGAAAAGCTGCACAGCCACTGCAGTCAACGAAGGGGGCGGCTTGCTCTTCTGTAGCCCTTCCCCAGGTCTCCCAGCTGGCTCCCAGCCTGAGCACTCCAACAGGGCTTAGGACCAATCCCGCCAGTACTGTGATGGTTGTTCTGGTTCTGGCCACCAGATGGCGCCCTGGAGCGGCTCAACACCCAATGGTGGGATGCAGCCCCCAAGAAACCACCAAGAGACTGAGAGGAAAGGGTTAAAGATGGGAAAATGCAGCACTGGGAAACCCCAGAGACCCAGATTGGTACCCCAGAGGGGAAAATTTGCCCTCTAAGCCTGGAGTTTGACTTGGCATTAGGTAATTAAATCTGCACAGGGGTAGGCAGCTTGTGGCCCTCCGTGTGTTTTGGCCTACAACTCCCATCAGCCCTCATCAGCAGACCTAATAGAGATGGATGATGGGAACTGTAGGCCAAACTGGGATGCCCAGACACTATTAAATCCATCCCCTGCCATCCATTCACAGATGGTCGGGCATCTTTCATTCTGTCCTCTGCCCATCAAAGGAAGTCGGTTTTGTGCAAACCCACTTGTACGCATTTGCATAAATCCACAGTTCTACTAAGTTGCGTAGATGTGCAAATGTGTATTTTCACACTTTTACCTAAAGGGGAAATGGGCACTTTTGGCCAGTGTTTATTTATTTATTTATTTATTTATTTCTCTTTTGTTTTACAACTAAATTTGCATAGGATTACAGAAAGCTGAACATGAGAAGTGGTCCTCAGGCCAGTGGAATTCATGCAATATAGGAAAAGCCATTCCACCATGGAATGCACAGTTCAGACGCTTGGAAATGCAATTGATCACTGCAGAGGAAGGACTGACGGACTCAGTTCTCATGTCAGACTTCAGAAGAACTTTGCTGATGAATGGGACTTGTATTCTGAGATCAGCAATGGTGGATTTCAGCTAATTCCTCCCTCCGATCTAGCAAGATAGCTCTCATATGATCGGCAAACTTGCGGTCTCCACAGTGGCTATGAATGCCTCATATTCTTTGGATCCAAGCTAGATCTTGGAATGCGATATGGCAGTTTCTCTCCCTGCAATGCCTTGAGGCTATTAAAAGTACAATGAACTTTCTCTTTCTCTCCTCCCCACTCTCTCCTTTTAGTACAGAGAGTAATTTGGATGCACCAATGTTGCTTGATGGAGGTAAGAAATATACACCCCATACATCATAAATGCCCCCGATGGCACGTTAAGAAATGCAAAAAGATCTCTCAAGCTGGAAAAAAACACATACCCTGGCATGCGTTCTGAAGTGTTAATGCTCTCCCATGGATTGGCTGTTACTAAGACAGTCTTTAGTGTAATAATATTTTTTATAAACCTCCCGTTTCAATAAGTTCCAGCAGCAGAGGGATCTATCCATGGTTTCCTAAGGAAACATCTAATGGGTACTTAGTAGCCAGAAAACATAAGCATGCATATTGCAAACATATGTGTGCAAACTTTTTTTTTCCAGGATAGAAATGTCCTCCACGATGAGCCCCCACCCACTGCCTCATAGGGACTAGCTGCTTTTCATGAGCTGGCACTGAAAAATGTGCCATTAGGTTTCTCTTTTTTTCCTTCCCCCATGACAGTATTTGAGTCCTAGCCATCATACCTTTGCTTGGGCTACATCGTATAATCACAGCAGGTACTCTGGGGTTTTTTTTTAAAGACGCATCTACATTTCTGTTTCATGGTCATGGCAACAGAAAATTCTGCTACCTGAAATCTTTCCCCATTCTTTTTCCAGCAAAGGCTAATGTCAGTGAAATTGTGAGCAGGCCTTTTCAGATGCTCTTTTGGGTGTTTTGAAATATGAGTATTATATTTTAGCATGTCTTTATTTAATTTTTTATCTTATATGGCTCTGAGTATACATGTGAGACAGGAAGGCAATTTTTTCTTTTCTATTGTGTGCTTAAGCCAAGCATAACACAAAAGGAAAGGGGATTACAAGGGAGGAGAAAAACTGCAAATCGAGATATTAGATTCTTAGTTGCAAAATTCAGCAGGCCATGAGCGCACATAAAACATTCAGCCCAAAACAAAGGAACCCAGCTCAGCTCGCAGCAGTGAGCTTTGATGCCAACTGACCAAGAGGGTTGCAAGGGCTGAAACACAGCACCAACCTAGTGGCCACTAGCTGCAAAAAAAGCAAGTTCCATATTATGGATTCATTAGCCCAGGAACTAAAAAGAAAACTCTCTATATCAGAAGGGATCCATCCCAAAATCAAGGGTGCAAGCATTCTCAGAACACTT